ATCTGCGAGATTGGAGGAAGCAGCATGAGCAGCTGGCGGTGATGACTGGTCCGACTAAAGGTCTCGGTTCGGTTGGGATGGAGGTTGGCGGAATGGATATGGAAGAAGAGGTCAAGGAGGCTTATGAAGTCGTCAAGCGGATAGATGTGTTGGATGTTTCGGTGGATGGTACAGAGATTTGGGTCGCGGCAGAAAATGCTTATAATGAGCGGGTGTCGAGGGTGGAAAACCAAATCATTGCTCGGTTAAGGGACCGACTAGGTACTGCGAGAAACGCGAACGAGATGTTCAGGGTGTTCTCGAAGTTCAATGCCCTATTTGTCAGACCCAAGGTAGGTCCATATACATGTGTCCCAGAGGATATTATACTCATCAACGGGGTTTTCAGATTCGCGGCGCTATCCAAGAATATCAGACCCAGCTAATCGACTCGGTCAAGGAAGACATCAAACATCTACATGACAAAGTACAACCGTTTTCATCTTCACATTATTAATCTAACCTCTTGCCCTCCTAGTTCAAAACCCAGTACCGCTATTCCGAAGCCTACCATATGTCCCAAATGCGGGACCTACCCCCAATCGCTGGCGCCATAATCTGGGCCCGCCAAATTGAACGCCAACTCCTCACCTACATGAAACGCGTCGAAGACGTCCTCGGCAAAGGTTGGGAACTCTATGCTGAAGGCCAAAAACTCCAATCCGAATCCAACGCTTTCCGCAAAAAACTCGACACTCGTCCTGTCTACGAAGCCTGGCTGCACGACATCAATCGTCGCAACATGGGCGTCGACGGACGGTTATTCGAAATCGTGCGGCTACGAGGAGGTGGATTTCAGCTTGCAGTCAATTTCGATCCGCAGATTATTACGTTGTTCAAGGAAGTAAGGAATTTGTTGTGGTTGGGGTTTCAGGTCCCGCATGCAATTACGAATATGGCGAAGGATGCGAAGAGGGTTTATCCTCATGCAGTAAGCTTGATGGAGACTGTGAGGACGTATGGGCAGACGTTGGATTTGGTGGAGAATAATACGGGAATTGAGTCGTTGGTTGCAGAGTATAGGAATGAGAGTCAGAGGATGATTTCAAAGGGTAGGTGGCATATCTATAGTCTGGATAACGAATCCCATTCATTTACATGTTGTAGGTGTCAACATTCGTTGGGACCATTTCGTCAATCAGTACGACACCGGAAGATTCGTTTCCAGCGCGGATGGGAAGGATAACAGGCATATCCAGTTTGTTAGGGAGTTTGCCAGTGTAGTTTCCGTGCTACAGGTGCGTTGTATCATTTTGCTGCCGTGTGTCCCTTGAGCTGATTACAATATGGACATAGGACAAAACAAATAGTGTGATTGATTTGTACAAAGACATTCTCCGAGCAGTGGATGACCTCGCTACCTGTTCTTACACAAGCGAGGCGTTTTCGGAGCTTCTGGGGAGAATTCAAGCCGCGGTAAACATCGTCATCCTCTTCCTCTCGTGGTCGCATTCACTAACGAATCGCAGATTGATAGACTAAACTTGGAAGGTTACGCAAACCTCGATCACTGGGTAGCCAAACTGGACAAACGAATCGAAACTTTGCTCCTCCAACGGCTCGCTCAAATTATTCAGGCATGGTGTACGGAGTTTGACCGCACGGACGATGACTCGAGGAGAGACACCTTGCCTATCAGAGAGAACAAACGGAGAGGTGACAAGAGAATGAAAGAGGAGAAGGCATGTTATGTTTCTTACTACAAATGAAAGACTTGGGCTGAAATTTATGATTTCGGATAGTTCATGGAATCGCACATGACAATCAAACCTTTCGTTCACGAAATACGGATACAGAACCAGGTCATCTTTTTGGATCCACCAATAGAGCACGCCAGAGCCGCTTGGATTAACCAACTGCACGACTGGATCGGTAAGTTCATTCTCATTTGGTTATCACTGTGCCGGCTTACCACTTTTGCGTTAGGGGTGGTGTGTCGACTACGGCGGATCCAAAGTTCACGGTATGAGATTGGGCTGCAGATGCAAGGATCTGTTGCCACTGAAACAACATATACCTCATTGGTACGTCGTTTTCCCTTCGCTCTTTAGCCTTGGTTGAACAACTTTCAATTTCCCAGCTTACTCATTTCCCCGATGATTCCCTTCAACGACCATTCGCACTGATCGAGTCCAAAGTCCAACAACTTCGCGAATACGTAGCGAAATGGTTCCAATTTCAATCACTTTGGGACCTCGAAGCCGAATACGTCTTCAATCGTCTTGGTGACTCTCTCGCTCATTGGCAACAGCTGCTCACAGAAATCAAGAAAGCCAGGGCGACGTTTGATACGTCTGAAACACAAAAGTCGTTCGGTGTGTGCGCTATTGATTATGAGCAGGTCCAAGCACGAGTAAACGCCAAGTACGATGCGTGGCAGAGGGATATTCTTAGTCGCTTTGGTGTGAAGCTGGGAATGCGATGAAGGAGATGCATGCTAGTATCTTAAAAGCCAGGAATGATCTCGAGCATCAGTCCATTGAAGGGTTGGTGGGTGGATCTAGACGGTTTTGAAAATAAAGTTGTTTTGACGGTCTGTTCTTTTCTTTTATACCTGGAATACTTTTACGATCTCTGTTCCTCTTGCTGTACTCATTCCTCCACATATCAATCGATTCATCACTCTCATTATGTTTATGTTGTCGCATTTTTCTACTGTTCCTATGCATTATAGTGGATTTCTACAATAATGAACTAATAACATTGCTTAGATTGAGATATCCAACATGTTGACAACAAAGGCATCCCCCTCATATTGATTCTCGACACGTTCATTGGTTCTGGCGCGCTTTCATTGAGAACTGATGTTCCCTTGCATGAACTAGATTGCATGATTCACACGAACTGTTCAAGCTGAGAAACAAATCTACTATCATTTCGCTATCATGGCTCTATGGAAAACAGTCGGAAATAGTACTTTGGACGGGGTATCTCGTGTTGCAGACTTGGATGTAAGTAACTTCATTCATTCTTCTTCCTTGCCAGTAGTCAACTCATCCCTAGGCCTCGAAATTGACAATCACCCTATCAGAAACACTTAAACCGATCCCACCTCGCGATACATGGCTGTTTGGAAATGTGTGCCCACCACAGTCTAAATTTTTGCAATCATCCGCATTTCTCAATTTCTCCTAGATCATGACCGATCACATGGTAGTAGCGGAATTCGACCCAGAAACAGGCTGGTCAAATCCTGAAATCAAGCCTCGCGGTCCGTTAAGCCTTGACCCTGCGAGTAGTTGCGTTCAATATGGGACGACTGTATTCGAGGGGATGAAGGTACACAGCTTCGCATTCCTTGAAATTCTATCACTGTATAATATGCTTAGGCTTACATCGGACCTGATGGAAAACCACGACTGTTCAGACCCGACATGAACATGGCACGATTAGCAAGATCGGCAGAGCGTATGGCTCTTCCTGTGAGCAGCCTTCACTGGATTTTGCCGTTCGAACTTGGGCGCTGATTCTAAGGCTTGTCTTTATAACCAAGCCCTTCAACATAGATCAAGTCCTAGTATTGATCAAGCAACTCATCACAGTCGATCGTCGATGGATTCCTTCGTCCAGCGGATACAGCTTGTATATCCGTCCAACACTCATGGGCACTCGCATGGGTAAGTGTCAAAAAGTATAAAACTATTCCATCCGAGTAATGAGTACCGTCACGAATATAGGACTAAGTGTCGCTGCTTCGGACCATGCAACTTTATGCATATTCCTTTCGCCTGCAGGACCCTACTTTCGATCCGGGGTTAAAGCTATCTCTGCCCTCGCAGTAGCCGACACCGTTCGTGCATGGCCTGGCGGGACCGGCGGGCACAAAGTTGCGTTGAATTATTCACCAGGGTTTCTTCCACTCCGGGTCGCACAGAAGCAGGGATATGAGCAAATTTTGTGGTTATTGGGAGATGATATGAAAGTCACTGAAGCGGGGGCGATGAACATCTTCATCGTTGTTAAACGCGATGATGGAGGTATGTACCAATCTGGTGATAACTCAAGCAACGTGCTAACAAATCTACAGAAATCAACCTTTTAACTCCTCCATTAGATGGTACGATTCTTCCAGGCGTTACTCGGGATTCTGTGCTAGCTTTAGCAAAGGCTCACGCTGCTGGTGAAATTATTCTTCCTGGATTACAACAAACACTTCGCATACATGCTCAAGAACGGACGTTCACCATGGATGATTTGTGGCGCTGGTCTGCCGATGGACGACTTTTGGAAGCATTCGGCGCTGGTACAGCTGTTATTATCGCTTCAATAGGTAAAATTGGATTCAAGAGTAGAGAGGATATCATCCTTGCGGAACATGAAGATGGACTGGGTCCCTTAGCGAATGCATTTAGAACAACGATATTAGACATACAAGAGGGAAAGGAGGCATGGAAGGACTGGGGTGTGCTCGTTGATGAGTTGTAATCGACTGTTTCTAGAGCTCTTTTAGGACCCGTTCAGATTCAGAACCCTTTTGTATCTGATGAGAAATTACCAACTCCCAGGTCATCACCACTTACCAAACTTAAATCAGGTGCATGAAAAGTAGATCGATTCGTTCTCAAAGTCAAGCAAGAATGATTAATTAAGAATGATCTGCAATCTCATATCCACTCATGGTCCGTACTTCCTTTATTTCGTCCTCCTCCTCACTAGTGTCTCCAACAATGCCCACAGCCATACCCTACAGAGCTCGATTCCTTATATTCTGCATGGCTCCTTGCTCTTTGCGACAACTCAGTCCACAGGACCTTGAAAACCGAGAATGTCAGGCTTCAGAGACTCCCCAACATATGTTACTTCAGTGTTCAGCTTATTTGGTATCTCTGCTTTTCGCTAAAACTTCCTGTCATCTTTGCACTTCCTTTCCTCTTCCCTCTAACTTTTCTTTCTGAAACTCGGGTGATTTTTGAAACTCATTCCTGCCCAATCTAATTTATAGTGACAAACCCTTGAACATTGGCCGGCTAGCTCAGTTGGTTAGAGCGTGGTGCTAATAAGGAATTCCCATTCTTCACGCCAAGGTCTTGGGTTCGACCCCCAAGTTGGCCATGTTAACCTTTTTCGATGCATCATAAATATGTCTTCGTTGTGGAGAATAGAATGCCAGAGCCCAACTGCTTTCGCTGCAGCGAATACTGATTCCGCATGAAGATGAACAGAAGGAGAGCGTCGGATAAGTATGTACTCAAAATCCAAAAACGTAACTAATTTGATCCATTGAGTAGATAAACTGTAACACAGGCCTCACGTCGAGGAGTACTTGAATGCAGCCTTACTTATTTATGACTTGAAAGTTGATGTTCAATTGGGGCTCTCACCATGCTGCTACTCGACGCGTACGAACTGAGATCACGTGGACGCGTTGCCGGATTCGGCCCGCATTATTTTATACTTGCCACTTACTTATTTCTACCTACATTCTTCCTCTTACTGGAGGACAGGATCCTTGCTTCACATGACTCAAGATCTCAACGCTCTCATAGAGCAATCATACCTCACCGTACCTAGTTTTACCCTTGAATGTGGCGCAGAGCTACGCGACGTTCCTGTCGCTTATAAGGCCTGGGGTACATTGAACGCGGAGAGGGACAATGTTATGATTATTTGCCATGCTTTTACAGGAAGTGCTGATGTTCCGGATTGGTGAGCTCGACACGTAGTTTTTCTAATCATGTTCGTATCGTGCACTTGGTTCGTTACTGATATTGTTGTTTCGCAGGTGGGGCCCATTAATGGGACCAGGCAAAGCTTTCGACCCTCGTCGATACTTGGTTTTCTGTGGAAACGTCCTCGGTTCGCCGTATGGAACTGCGTCTCCGATATCTGTAAATCCCGACACAGGAAAGGTCTACGGACCTGATTTTCCTCCAACGTCAATACGAGACGATATACTGTGCGTCCACTTGGTCTGCAATCAGTTTTCCAGATTCAAAAAAACTGATTCTGCATCTAGGCTTCACAAACTTGTTCTCGACTATCTCGGCGTTTCTTCAGTCGCAGTCGTTATCGGTGGATCCATGGGCGGCATGGCTGTACTCGAATGGCCACTCTGTACACCTTCTGGATACGTCAAACATATCATTCCCATTGCTACATCTGCGCGACACTCAGCCTGGTGTATAAGCTGGGGCGAAGCCCAACGGCAGAGCATCTACAGTGATCCGGGATACCAAGACGGGTATTATACCTCACAACCTGCATCTGGACTCGCTGCAGCTAGGATGAGTGCTCTTTTGACTTATAGATCGAGGGATTCGTTTGAGAGCCGATTCGGGAGAAAAGCACAGATCCAAAAGGAAGCGAGAAAACCGTTGACACCACCTGGATCGCCAAAAATCAGAGCGAACGATGATGCGAGGGTAGCACATAATGATGGACATCGGAATTCACAGGCTACCACTTCTTCGACGATGTCTGGACGACCATCACCGGCGCCGAAGCCGACCACTCCGATATTCTCTGCACAGTCCTATCTTCGATACCAAGGAGACAAATTCACGGCACGGTTCGATGCGAACTGCTATATTCATATCACACGCAAGCTCGATACACACGATCTCGCTCGGGGGCGATTCCTCGAGGGTGAAGACCAAGACGACGATTCAGCTGCTCTAGCTCGCGTGCTATCCACTCTCCCTCCTCGTGCGCTGGTAATCAGCATCTCATCCGATGGCTTGTTTACTCCCTCCGAACAAAAGGAGATTGCAGCCCATATCCCGGACGCAGAGTTGGTGACAGTACAGAGTCCAGACGGACATGATGGGTTTCTATTGGAGTTTGAGCAGATCAATACGCATATCATGCAGTTCTTGAAGAGGGAGTTTCCAAGATTTTATGAGAGGGTATTTGATGGAGACGAAGCTGATGAGCCAGTTGAAGGGTTTGAGATCAAGAAAACGAGTTTGTTTGGGGAGGCGGAGGCCGACATCACCCATTGGTAAAAGGCGTAACTCCTTGAGCCACAAAATGGGTATCGATTCGGATATTATTACTTGTGATGATCCAACTCATCGCACACTCTGCTATATGTAGAATTTCGTGTAGGGCTATGCTACTGGGACATTGTTGTAATATCTTTGCAAAGTAACTAATAGAAATATATTGTTCTACTTAGAGTTACAATCTCAAAAAATGGCAAAGACGATAGATACATAAAAGGCTTAGACCAGTCCTCGAGATTCTTCGAACTCAAAGGTACTCCCTATCGACCATCGAAATGGAAAACTTTGAGATGTAGAATATCTTGACACCTGACTCAGTATTCTAAAGTCGATCCTTACTTACCATCAGACACCATTGGCGCACAGGATAGCAGTAAGAAGGAAATGAATCTGTCCTCATCACATCTGGAAACCTGACCTTTTCTGGTTTGACTGGTTACAATCGTCATATTGATCATAGGTTTTCCAGAAGGCGTAGGCTACTATTGCTTGCAACGTGAGCAAGAGTTTATTAGCATATGGTATGGTATGTATATGAGGTTGAGATTTCGATTACATTAGACGATATATTGTAGGATAAGTTGCGGGGGTTGGGTCAAGTCGTTTTGGACCCAGGGCTAGTCGAGAACATTTTTTTGGTCACTCTCGTCTATATTCTCCCAGAGACCGGATGCTGGATGGGCTCTCAGTGTCATAGATGGCTCACTAATGGATGACCAATGGATCAATAAATTTTAGGCTGGATACAAAATCTATCCTGTACACCGGGATTGCCCTCGAGAGAACCGTATCATTTTAACACATCCCGGATTTTTGGGGGGAAGCGGCAAGTTGCTGGTTGCATGTTACGTCCGCGCTCTTCTGAATTTTTGAAAGCGTGTGGTCTGTGACTACGTTGTTCCACTCAGATCATGATAAGCTGTATTACAATGTGATTTGAATCACTTAATTCAAGCACCGAAATCCACACCTAAGGACAGACACTCTTGAATATTCTAATTATGTCTCTGTAACCATTACAAAGATATAAATAAGAATGAGCAGCCTCTGAAAAACTGGATACTGACCATCAACGAATTTAATATCAACTTCCCCATCCAGAACATCCCCATCGCCGAAAGCTTCCATTAGTCTTCGAAGCGGAGGTCCGACCATATGGGTTTCAAGTCCTTGAATGCCTGCGGTTACCGATGTTCAGATTCAGAGATGAAAACAGTCAAGCCATGCTTCACTCACTATCATATTCTTCCTGTAATACGATTCAAATGACACCAAGTCAGCAACTTGGTGAGTGGGTTCGGAGACCTGTGGGAACACTTGCAATGTTCACGAAAATGGGAAGGTATTCTCCCTCTGCGTTTACACGACGAGTTACACGGTACGTGAGCTGCAATCGACCCGGCAGGGAAGGTCAGTACTGAAAGGTTTTTCCACATGAGAGACATACAGTGCCGGGCTCTTCATCGCTGTTTGCACGTTTTTGTGCAGCCTTCAAAAGATCTTGAACGATTTGGACCTGTGTAGGCGCATGTTGAAAGCAATACTTGGAAGATATCTAAGACGGGATAAACCTTTTCTGGTTTCACTGGCACGGTGGCAATAACCATTACTCTCCCGGAAGGTGTAGATTTACTGTTGTAAAAAGATGGGTAATCTCCATGGACCGCTGGAGAGAATAGCCACTTACGGCAGCTGGCTTGAGGACATTGCGAGTTGTAGGAGGCCTGTAGAGGACGAGTACTTTTGGAATGGATTTCAGCTCTCTTTTATACCTCAAGGACCCCTTCTCCTTGGCGACTGAGTCGGCTCTAACTCGGATGCTAACAAATTTCGAGCTATTGTACTTACTAATAAGAGAAAGTCAATATTCAGAAGAGACTTACTAGGGCTGACTCACCCAAAATCGCTAGACCGATATATCCCGTCAGTTTCCCATGGAATGGAGAGATTTGTTTTTTGTGCCCTTGATGGATGTGAACGTTGGTCGTACGTGGTGCTTTTTCCCGAATGACAAACCCGAGCTCTCTGTATAGGATATTGACGCCAAACATAATACAGCCGACTAGCGGACCGTCCAGACTCCAGACTTGCAAGAGATCGAACTCGAAAGGAAAAACAGACTGATCCAGCTTCCAATGAATGAGTATATTAGTCAGGGAGGCAACGAAGTTGATATCTTGAAGTTCACATTTTGGTATTCTATCCGTCCCCGAAAAAGGACAAGAAATCATACGAGTAGACGGATGGAGGATTGAGAAATGCCATGTACGCCTAGACACCGATTCTGCTCAATAGATTAGCAAATGTGCCAACCGATAACCCAAGACAACAAACAGCTTGAGGCATGCATATACGACTCCGATAATCCACGACGTCCAAACTTTGTCACATAATACGGAAAGTTAACCCTTCATACGCTTATAACCTCATCTCTTTTCGCTGACTTTCCTGCTCAACTTGTACTCGGATGGCGGCCGCGGCAGTGGCAATTTCTCAAAGAAAGACGTGCAAGACAATAAGCACATTAACAGTGATAGATAGGTAGATAGTGAACACTCCTCCATCCGGATATGTAGACCTTGAGTCCAAGAGTATTCACAGGATAAATGTGTTTTCCCGGCTGGCGACAATGACGAACAGTGAAAATTAGATGGGACCAGATTCCGCGAGAAAAAGGTGGCGAGGTCGCAAGGGCTCTTGATTTTTTTCGGAATTATGGTGTGGACGTCCTGCCAGCAGCAAACATCAAACTTCCATTCCTTTTGAAAACAATCAAGTCGTTTGAATGAAAGTCCTGAACGTAGTGTATTATAGTTGTTAGCTTGGGGGACTTTACCTCATGGCGAGCTGGAGGAACCTTCTAGAAAATTCCATTTAGAGAGCAGGACCTCTGTCACAATAGGTTGAGAATCGCCGAACTACAGCGACAGCATAAACGATCAAGACAACCCAGATAATGAGACAAACCAAAACTCATGATTAACCCCATAACGGAACTATATAGAAGGTCGCGAAAGGTCGAGGAAATAAATTGTATGAAGGACACGAAGTATGAGAATGGTATCTATTGCTAGTTCTCCCAAGTCAGACTCGTAGACAAATGATCTT